TATACTTCAAACTCTTATGATCTATGAATAGTTGACATTTGGTACCATATAAGTAATGACGCCATAATTTTAGTGCAAAAACGACCGCTGCCAACTCAAGATCATGAGTTGGATAGTTCTTTTCATAATCTTTCAACTGTCTCGACGCGTATGCAATTACATTGCCTCGCTGTATAAGAACACAACCGAGACCCAGTTTAGAAGTATCGTTGTAAACTACCGAGTCATCACTACCTTCTGGTAAAGCTAGAACATGAGCATTTGACAAACAAAGCTTTAACACCTGAAAAGCATTCTCTTGAGCTTCACCCCATTCGAACTTGACATCTTCCCGGTCAACGAAGTTAAAGGCACAACAATTTTAGAGAAATCTCGTATGAATCGTCTATAATAACCCGCGAGTCCAAGAAAACGACGAATCTCAGATGCATTCTTAGGTTGCTCCCAATTCTTTACAGCTTCAACTTTGGACGGGTCAACCGACACACCGTCACAAGAAATCGTATGACCTAGGAATTGCACMTGACGTAGCCAAAATTCACATTTCGAAAATTTAGCATATAGACGCTCTTGTCGAAGTGTTTCAAGCATCTCACACAAATGCTTCACGTGATCCGCTTCAGATTTGGAATATACAAGAATATCGCCTATAAACACGATCACAGATTTGTCCAACATTGGCCGGCACACGCGATTCATCATATCCATGAACGCTGCAGGTGCATTAGTTAAACCGAATGACATAACTAAAAATTCATAGTGGCCATAACATGTACGGAAAGCCGTTTTCGATTCATCTTCTTCACACACTCTCAGTTGATGATAACCCGACCGTAAATCAATTTTAGAGAAGTAACTCGCACCTTGCAATTGGTCGAACAAATCATCGATACGCGGAAGTGGATATTTGTTCTTGATCGTTACTTTGTTTAACTCACGGTAATCGATGCACATACGCATTGAACCATCTTTTTTCTTGACAAATAGTACTGGAGCACCCCAAGGAGAAGTGCTCGGTCGGATAAAACCTTTATCGAGAAGTTCTTGCAGTTGATTCTTCATTTCTTTCATTTCAGCCGGAGCCAGATGATATGGCGTCCTAGCAATCGGCGTTGCACCAGGAATTATGTCAATTCAAAATTCAACTTGTCTATCAGGAGGTAAACCGGGTAAGTCCTCGGGAAATACATCCGAAAATTCACACACAACCGGTACGTCACTAACCGTTTTCTTTACCTCTTTCGACACATCAAGAATATAGGCTAACTAGGAAGAACAACCTTTAGATAGGTGTCTTCGAGCTTTAAGCGTAGAAATCAACTTTACGTCCCCTTTACGCTTTTCACTGTAAACATATAAATAGTCGACGTCGTTCGGTATACGGATTATGCGTTGAAAACACAAAATATCAGCCCGATTCTTAGCCAACCAATCCATAGCAATAATTATATCAAAGCTATGGATATCCATCGGTACAAGATCTATGACAAACTCATGCTCATCTAATTGCAACACACAATCTTTGTAAACTTTATCAGCTAGCATAGATGTGCCATCAGCAACGTAAAAAAAATTTAGCAAGCACATATGGCACAAAGTTTAAACATCGAGCAAACGTATGAGAAACGAATGAATTAGTAGCACCAGAATCAAATAAGATACGAGCGGGATGAGAATTAACGAGAAATATACACATAACCACATCCGATTTATCTCGAGCTTCCTCAGTAGTGATTTGAAAAGCTCTAGCCTGGACGCACGGTACCTCGTCCTTTTGACGAGCAGCACCACTAGTAGAATGTCGGCGAACAAAAGCCTTACTTTCCTCAGGTTTAGATCAAGGGCATTCTCTTTGACGATGGCCTATAGCACCACATGAGTAGCATGTCATATCCCTCCTCGGGCAGTTCGGTCTCACGTGTCCAACTTCACCACAACCATGACATCTAACTTCAGGGCGAACAGTGTTGCATCGGCCCGATGAGCCTTACCGCAAACAGAACAGGGTGGAGGAGCATTTGACTAAAGGCTATAAGCTTGGGACCAAGATTGAGGTCGCGATCTAGCTTAGGATTGAGCGTATCATCGGATTGAAATTCCTAGAAAATTGCTGTGTTGGTGCAGATATGGCACCTTCAATTCGAGGTCGCTTGGCTGGCGGAGCTGGATTACAATCCGAGCGGGTCAAATCATGCTCGCGCCATCGTGCAGATTCCACCGCTTTCTCAAACTCCGATATATCACGATTGGCGACGACATCTTGAATCTCTGATCGCAATCCGTCTATAAAGTGGTCTACACGTTCCTGTTCTGTAGTCAAGAAACGTGTGGCAAACTGTGCTTTATGATTGAACTCGGTTTCGTAGTCCACCACTGACATCTTTCCTTGATTAAGATCAAGAAACTTCTTCTCCAATCGTTTTTGTAGATCAATTGGACAATACTGCTTGTTAAAACG